AATTTGACCTAGTAAACGTCCTTTCAGGTAAAAATGGAAATTCAGGTATTGTGTCAGACTAGGTAATTATTTTCAGGTGAGGTCATTACTTCGGGTTACATCAGGTTTACTTTGATCAATTAACAACACCAATATTAGTGTTTTCAAGGCAAGGAAGTTTATGATTTCAGCCTCACTGTTGAACGTATTCTTTTATTGATCTGTATTTGTAATATTTTTCTGGTCTTTACAACCGCAGCTATTTGTAAATCGATCAAAGAATTCTGTTCTTGTTAGGGCATATTAAGGTCAAACTGCTGTCATGATAAGGTCGTTCATCAACTTTTTACTAAAGGTCAGGGGAAATTTTCAGCAGGTGCGTTTCAAACATCTGAAAAATCTCTTAAGAGCCACAGTTGGTCCTCTTCGTGGTATCTGAACACTTACTCAGTCGTCCAAAGGCTGTAATGGAAGTCTCAACCCACACTCCAGCTTTTCAGCTTTAACTGTCTTTCTACTTCAGGGTTGTCAGCCTCCGGTCCTCCAGCACCTGTTCATGTTTTAGAGTTGTCCCATCTTTAGTGAAACTAATTTGCATTCATGGCTCACATGCTTTTAATGAACCCCTACGGGCTGAATCACATGTGTTAAAGCAGGGAAGCATCTAAAACATGCAGGACTGACTTTGGACATCCCTTGCCTTTGTGGTTTCTCCCATTCCCACATGTCATTAAGATATAGAGGTGTCAACTGAATTAATATGTATTACTCAAGCAGAGTAACTCCTACTATTTAAAAAACACTTTTGTAGAAGTTAGAGTATCGACTTAAGCTTTTTAATCAAGTAAAAGTGTCAAATTAGCAGTTTTAAAACTACTTAAAGTAGGAAAAAATGTTAAGGACAGATGCTTCAAATCAATGCTGGTTATGTCAGGTGGGGTGAAGGTACATTGAGAACCCAAATGCAGAGATGAGTTCTTGCAGGTTTAATTAAATCAAAAAGACAACAGATACAAAATCCAAGGATAAAAAAAAAAAAAAAAAAAAAAAAACAGAAGACGTCAGGAGAAAACATACATGGGGAGCCAAGAAACAACAAGGAACCAGCACTGAAAAACTTCTTCTTCTTAATGGGATTTTATTGGCAGTTGGCACGCAACGAAATTGTGCATTACCGCCACCAACTGGTATGGAGTGTGGACCTGAATGGCTACGACCTACTTATACTGAACATCTGAAAAACTGCTCAGGGAGAGTATATATATGGGAGATAGAACAAAGACTGGGGTAATCAGCTGATGTGGAGCAGGTGTGGACAGAAGTGAGTAGAGGGGAGCTAGGGGAAAGGAGACTGGCACAAGGGGGCAACAGAGACCAACTCAAGAATGCTTAAGTATAACACAAAATGGACAATAGACAAAAAATCAACAAATCAGAATGACTTTGAAAATGAAAACCCAAAAGGGTAGAACCATAACAGGTACTGCACTACCCTATTAAAGGAACATTTTTTTTTTTAATTCTGGTTGATAACTTTCTTATACTTAATTTTCTTAGTGGTATAACCAATGGTAACAGTATCAAATTTAATTCAGCATCATCTTGAAAAACTAATTATTTTGGAATGTAGCGGAAACAAGCTCGTACAGTACCGAATCTAACCACAAAGAGAATAATTGGCTTCATGAAACAAATTTTTTATTAAATGTTTTTTATTTAACAAGCCATAACAAAAATGAGCTTAAATTAAACAAAACTAACAATCTATTTATAAAATGTAAGGAGTAGAAACTAAAAAAGTTGTCTAAAAAACAATTACTCAGTTAAGTATAGTTAAGTAAGTAAGGTAACAAAGTATTTGTATCTTACTTGCTTTAACATTTAAGAAGTGAAGCACAAGGCCAGCGTATAAAAAAATACTTGAAATCTGAGAAAGCTTCTGTTTATTTGCATTCTATTTCACAGCCTCAAATCCACGACTAGCTCCTTCATTCTGTACTGTTAGCTTCCATTAGCATCAGGTCATCTGCAGACAGGAATATAAGGCAAAACATCATAATTTTTAGCTGCTTTAGGTGAATGAGCCTAATGTTTTAGCTGATCTTTGCAGGGTATTGAAAATAGGTATAGTTGAGTACCAGTTCCTGGGTACCATGCTTTGGTACTTTATTGGTTCAACTGCGAACAGTAACCATCTCTAATTTTAACTTGGGCTTAGCTATATATTTCTGATTTCCAATATAATAGCCTTTTTTAAAACACGATTTTCAATTTTAAGAAACATTTCATTTGGGCTTTGCATTTAACAGGAATAAGAAATAAGGCATTGCATTTAACAGGAATAAGAAAATAACTTTCTCAATCAGAACTTTAAATGGGACCTAAAGTTGATCTGACAGTTACAGCTAGTATGCAGATCCATGAATGGAAGTAAATTAAAGTATTTTTCTACACAACTATAAGAGTGAACTCCTGTGACTATAGACTTTAGAAAAGCAATTTTCATGTTCATACAAACAATGAAAACCTGGAGGAAAATATCTACAAGCTTCTACTTGGAGCAAAAAAAAATGTAAATTCTGTTGGGAAAAAAAAAGCATTTTTTTGCAGAATCTAAAATCTACTTATGTTTAATTTAATTTAACTGAGCAGCTACAAAAGACTGAGTGATGCTCAGAGGATCAGTAAAAGTTGAAGGCACCTGTAAGAGAGAGCTATATTGACATAGAGACCTTTGTTTTCCTAGAACCCACAGACAGGACCTAAACATTACTAATGGGGAACCATAATGGTACCAAGATACATCTGTTTGAGATATTGATTCCAGCTGCGCTAATGCTCCAAGCTGCAGACTGGGATGTCAAGGTAGGGACAGATTAAATCCCAGAGGCAACATCCCATCATTAGTCAAAGTGTTTTCACAAAGGTTTGCACAATGAAAGAGGTGGAGTGCTGAGGGAGGATTAAAGACTAGCTTTAGATACTGCAAATATTGATTTTTTTTTTACTTAGATGCATCTGAAATCAGATCTACCTCACCAGAATTTCTGGGTGATTCATAGAATTTCAATCTCTGTAAGGAGGAAGATATAACAGGTGGAGCATTGTGGGGGTTTTGAAACCGGACTTTAGAATCTTTGCTGTTTATCTTTCCCGCCTCTATCTATATCTTGTCTGTGCATGTGCTGTAAAAAATGGTGAACAATGCCAGGAAATCTTTTCAAAAAGCTTTGATTTATAGAGATCTGGGTTACCCAGAGCCAGCCAAAAAACAAACAAAAATGATGAACTTTGTGACTAGATATTTTGGAGATCCAATTCACATTTATAGGAAAGCTGAAAAGAAAGTGTCCTCTGCAAGGCAAGACTCCACAAAGTTTTCAAATTTGATTGATTTGCCTTCCTGTCTACCAAAACTAAGGTTGAAATAAGCAGATCCAAACATCCTATAAAAATATTATCCTTAATTTACTTTCTTTTATTTTTGCAGTAGAGAAATGTATTTATTTTAGTAAAACTTTAGGCTAAACTGCACTGTTTAGCCTGAAAAACAAAACATAAAACCACGGCTTTGTTTTAAGCTGGAAAAGCTTGGGGTGAGTTAACAAATGTAAGAAATAAGAAAAGAAAAAAACAGTTACCCTAAAAATAATGGTGGTGGTGATGGCCAATCGCATGTTTGCTGCTGGGAGGGGAGTACGGTTGCTAACTCCCTAAATAAAATAAAAAAAGGGACACCTCATGTGCCTGCCAACTGAGCTGACTGCCTTTACCCCTCCTGGCACTGTGATTTTTTTTTTTTTCTGCATTGAATTAAATGCATATTTGCAGTGTGCTTTACATTCGTTATCGCAGACTTTTTCCACCCAGGTATTTGTTTTTCCCCATTCCTCCCTATATTTCTGCATCCCTATTTTCTTTTTCAGAGGAGGAGCATTGCTCCTCAAAAGCAGCGTCAGCATTTAAATCCCTCAGTTCGTCCCCCATACTGCTCTGTTGTCTCCCGATATCTTTTCCGTAAGTAACACTTAGCTTGACTAATGGGATAAGGGTATTCTGGATAGTTACATATATGTTATCAGCTCATTGGTCACAATGCAGGACAGGGCCTAGGAACAAGTTTACCGTACATTTTGTATCCAACGTGCCCTTGCTCTTTATTTTCAATTAGATTTTTACTGACAGTTTTTTTACTCTCACAGTAATACGGGACAAAGTGCGTTCCTTTTCCACTAAATATAGGACAGCTACTTCCGTCCTATATCTGTTTTTCAAGAGACGGTTGGCAACCCTAGAGGGGAGTGTTGGCCTAGTGGTTAGAGCAGTGCGCTTGTGCTCTAAAAAGTACCCAGTTTGATCCCCAGAGCCTCCACTCTGGGCTTTGAGCAAGACCCTTAACCCCACACTGCTCCCAGGGCGCTGCACAATGGCATTCCACTGCTCCCCCAGGGGATGGGTTAAATGCAGAGGTACGATTATTGTTATTAACCAGGCCAACCTTGGTGTGAATCTGTCTCCAGATAAATGTGTAAAAAGGTAGATTTTTGAGTGTCTCCAATAATATTCTTTACTGAATCTCAAATGTGACAAACTTCTGGAGCGTGTTACAGACCTTACTTTCAGTTCTTTCCCAAAAAAAAAACGCTAAAGAATGAAGTTAAGTTGAGAAACTATGAAATACTGTTAGGATTCCTAAAAATCCCAGTAAAAAAAAAAATCCTTCAGATTCCAGCTTTAATATCACTAGCCATCTCCAGTATGTAACAGTGATTACACTGCAGTGGGTAGACTGATGGAAATCTGCCAAAAAAATATTTTCTGTTTAATCACAGAATATGTTTGCATACATATGAATTTATGACTCAAACTAAGTTTCTTTAGTTTGAGTCTTAAAACAGCTCAACATGGCTTGAAAAGACTGTCACATATTAAAATAAACTATATCCTTGTAGTTATTAGTCTATATTTACTGTTTTGCTGGGGGTTCTTTTGAAGTGATTGATTACAAGTGAGGAAAATACCAGAAGCTGTTGTTACCCCATGTTGCTCTCATGCTGAGTTCATTTCATGGACCAAGTCTGCTCCTGGGGATCTGGCACCGACTCTCCATCTGTTAGTAAATGAAAGCAGCTTAGCTGCTGATGAATGATAACTATAAAAATTAATACTTAAATAGAAATCAGAAAGGTATGGTACATAAAATGGAGCAAAATGGAACAGGCTTATCTTGTATTTCACTTTTTATGTGCCTTTAGTTCAGTGACAATGTTTTCTATTCCTCTGTCGCTCCCACTGAGCAGCTTTGATGGCACCAAACCAAATGTGTATAGAGGGAACGCCGAATGGTTCTACAGTGGTCGTGACAAAAAATGATTTACCTTCCAGAGCTGACTGCTGAAAGCTTTGATAAGGCAGACGTTCTTCAGTTTTTATGGTGAATGTCACTCTCACTCTCAGCTCCTGTAGCCTTGCAGCTTTATCCTCTTACTTCATGAATTCCTGCATGACAAGCTCAGTGCTCTTACTGACAACAACACAAAAGCTAAATAAATCAGAAGGTCAAGCTTGTGATCCAGTTCGAAAACACATCTGGATACTGATCCAACACATGCATTAGAAATGAAGTAAAACGTTGCAGCTATCTAAAAGTCTTTTTATTTTTTTTTACTTCTTTAAACAGTGCCTTCCAACACATTCATACCAGTTTAATAATTTCAGATCCTACAGTTAGAAACTTTATCAGGATTTCATGTGGCAGGGCAAATGATTTTACCAAGTCAATAATTTTTGCAGAATCAATCATCTTTTTGGTTATTTTATATCTAAAGATGACATTTTTCTAAATCATTTGGAAATAATGATGGATCATCCATACATATGCTATAATCTCTGCTTAAATATTTTTTTTTTCATTTAGACAAAAGAGCCTCCATTGAAAGATATTTTGTGATTTCTTTGTTTTGACTGCATAGCAATGATAATAATAATAAGGCATTTTATTCATAGAGCACAAAGTGCTAAAAAGGAATGGTTAAAACAAACAAAAAGAAAGTGTCAAATGAGAACAAGTTTAATTAATATTTAAATTTAACTTAAAATAATACATGAAATACAGCATTATTTTCTAAAAATGAAATTAAACACACCTATGATACAAAGAGGTTTGTGTTTGCAACATGAAAAAAAAAAATGGAGATGTAAAAAAATATCTCTGCAAAGCATTATAAACCCGTCTGCTGCATTAATCGCTGGAACACTGTTGCATATTAGATTCATAAAAAAGAATCGATTACATTGATTATGACAAGTAATTACTTTGTTTAATAACAGGGATGATTGCAGGGGAGCGCTGCCGTGTAAAGGATTAGCCTCATGCTCGCTCTTTCAGGTTGTTATTTGAAAATAATTCCAGCAAACATTCAGAATTACACCTTCCACATCCATCAATAAATGTCTGTCTGGAGCATGCTGGATAACTCAATAACTCATTCAGCAGAGGGGAGCACAGATGAAAACTATTTCAGTGCACCCAAACACAAGAGATGCCTTTTGAGAATCAGCGGGGAATATTTTCAGGCGTTGAAAATCTGTTTCAGACGTCTAAAAGTAGACGCGCAAGTTTCTTCGACACCGCTCACCTCTCTTGGAGAGAATTTCATTATGTCTATACCCTTTTGCCCTGTTGATTTGAGTGTAATGAGCTGCAGTAATATGGCTGTGCGAACACGAAGGAGAACGGTTAACTGGGTGTTTTTATGTCTGGGCTCAGAATGCAAACAGGGTAAAATGAATTTCTGAGCCAGACAATTTCCCTCAGAGGATGACAGAGAAGAGCTGAGACACACTTTGTAGAGACAGAGGCGGCAATTAGGATATCCAGAGAATAACACTTGATTGTTTTCCTCCCTAAAACTAGGTCTTGACGAGTACAAACACATGCTTGTTTTTTGCACATCTGCTTAGAGAGCTCCTCTTGGTGCTTCAAAACAAGCTATAACCTGACTCACTCGGATGGGCACATCGAAGGCTGTTTGTCTTGCTGCGTCGCGGCCCAAGCTCAATTAGTGATGCAAATAAATCTGCAGGGGGAAGCACGTGTCTCTAAACTGAAAAAAAGAGAATAAAACACGCTATTTACCTTCATTTTCCATTTGCTTTTGTTTTATAATCCCTCAAACCTTCCGATATGTGGTTACATAACAAATATTCAATGTATTTCACAGGAATTTATCTGGATAGACCATCAAATTTTCTTTACTTCTATAAACACATGTCGTCTGAGTGTTATTTAATATTGATATAACTCCAGGTATTCAGTTAAGGCATTATGTATTGTAAGAGAACATTAGCATACAAACGGCATTGCGAAGACCAAAAAATACAAGGTCAGAGAAAAAGTGCGGAGAAGCTTAAAGCAAGATTAGGGTGTAGAGAAATATCCCAAAGTTAGAAAATCTTAATCTAAATGCTTCACTGGGAAATCACATAAAAAGGCTCTAAAAGACAAAAAAAGTTGTAAGTTATGAAAGCTGCAGGAGAAACTGCTACCACATTATCGCTGTAGGTCCACTCATTAACCTTCATCCAAGGCCTATTCTTTTACAATGAAAGGTTGCAACTTATAATTAGAAATTGTACTATAATGGGGGCTTTTACAAGTACCTGAAATTTTTCCTTGTTTGACAATAAAGGAACTATTTTTCATTCTTACTACCATTCAGCGTTCTCCTTCTAATTGGACCTTTCTGCTGGTCTAAAAAGATACCAGTGAAATTCTTGAAAAAGCCTGATTAAAACCAATAAGACTGTGCAACTTGCCTGGAGTCTTCAACCTTGAAATGGTTTCTCCTGAATTAAGCCAGCAACACAGGAAATTTGGACTGTTTGGCTCCTTCTGGTTCATGGGAGTTGGCTGTGACTGAATCCTTTTTCCCAGGGAAGGCTGAATCTTTTCTCTTGTATTTTTATCTGTGTTACATCTTCAGTGGGTGGCAGGAGTTCAGCTGGGTGACACATGACGGAAACCCTCATGACTTCTGCCATTCATCGCCTGACTGACCTTGACCTAAAGTACAGGCAGAGTGGAATGACTGTGGGTGAGCACAGGAACATTAGTTTAATTGTGGCTCTTAAAGCCACATAGCAGAATTACAAAGAAAAAAGCTAGGGATTTATTCTAAATGGCATAATGTGACTTCCCTTAGTAGGAAAAAACTGAAAGGAGAAAAGGCTACATAAAAAGGCTAATTTCAGCAAACCACGTTTTTTATTCTGGATGTAGAACCTAGTATGTATGTATTGGGTAATTGCTTGATAAGAATTTTGTCAATTCATTTTTTTTTAAAGGAGCATCATCAGAACACATCCGAACATACAGAAAATATCAAATTGGTCAGATTGGTCTGATCTTGAATCCTCATGGATTACCAGTATGACAGAAAGATAATGATTGAACACTGATGCTGCTTTTGTACTATGCATCAAACACTGTATAACAAATAAAATAAAAACTACATAAAAAACACAAAAAGATTCCATGCTTTGCCACAATATTAAACGTCCAGATCATCAGATTAAATACACCAATCACCTAGCAACTGCTGTTTTGTAAATTAGCACAAGTGCATACTCTTTCTTTCAGGGGACTTCAGCCTTTAGCTCAAGCAGACTTTCCAAGCTATTACATGTTGTTAAAAAGATCAAAGTAACATCACAGAACTGCATCTCTGTTAACTTAAATTGGGATCTTCTACAACACGAAGGAATATAATTATTGCAGAGATAAGCGTTCTGAAAGCAACTGGACTCCATGGGGAGAGGAGACAGAGGACTCGAACACAATCTTTAGTTCAGAATTTCGAGTAAGTCGAAAAACAGTATTCCTTAGACAGTTGCAGAAAGCTCCACTATCCTCTCAGGACTCATGTCTAAACCTACAGGCTGGTTTAAAAGAACCGTTTCCGACACACATTATAGACTAATCTGTGCTGTTCTTTACCTTAAATTCTAGCTGACTCTAGAGGATATAGCGTTCAGAACACAAACTTAGATTTAAAAAATGAATTTAACAAAACACCATATCTTATATACCATATACTGTATTTTTCACACCTGAACTGCTCTACATATTTATCATAACCATCGCAGTGTTATGCCAGATCTTTTAGCCATATATAATGGCTTCTATGTGCAAGTCATCATTTACGTGTACACAGGACCTTAACCCCCCACTGTACAGTTTGTACACTTGTGAAAAGCCAAAAAATTGTGAATGACACCTAACCTTTTTGTTCTTTGACAATATTCTTAGGATTAGGGCAGCAACTAACGATTATTTTAAAAATCGATGAATCGGCCGATTATTTTTTCGATTAATCGATGAATCGGACAAAAAATATTATTTATATTAACCTCTTTATTCCAAAATAAACATTTTAGACAGAACAAATAAGCACACAAGTACAGGTTGCTCATTAACTGTACTGGTGCAATATGAAAAATAAATGTTTGTGTTAAAACTATACAGACTTACATGAGAAATGTAGCTGTACATCCACAAAATATAGGGTACTTTGTTTCATAAAGCGCAAAAAAAGACAGGCATTTTTGTTTTTAAAAGCCCCGAAGGGGTTCAAACAATAGGTCCCCCCATTTCAACAAATGAGGGTTTTTTAGACTAGAAGAGTTCTGCCTTTTAAGACAGGAAAGTATAGCAGTTAAAGTTGCTACTTGAGAAAATACTTAACCATAGAGATAAAAATAGCCCTGTGATTCAAATTATAAATTGTATTTGGAATAAAAATGAGAGAACTAGGGGTGCTAAAAAACACATCCTCCACAGGCAGAAATTTACATGGGAATGTGGCATATAATTAATTGACATATTGCTGATCTTGCTGGATTTTATTCTGCTTTACTTCCATAATTTGTCAATTTTTATCGATTTTATCGATTCGTTGTTGCAGCCCTACTTAGGATTATGATAAGCTAGTTCATAAAGCTACTTGCTTTATACAGTGCCTTGCATGCTCTGTGCCATTTAGTCCCATTGAGTCTAATTTAGCCCTGATATCCATCCCAGCATGTTTCGAAGCATTATAAAATGAATACACTCACTGGGCGTAGTGTATATTGTAGTACTCTAGGAGATACTTCGGTAAATAAAAGTAGCTGGAGAGTAGACCATTGTGGAACCCTGCAGTAAGTTCATGTTCTCTGAGCTATTTCAATACCAATATGTATAATTCCTACCGCTTCACGCAGTGGGTACCACTATTGACTTGCAGAAAGTTCTCCCTGTGCATGCGTGGGTTCTCTCCGGGTACTCCGGCTTCTTCCCACAGTCCAATAACATGACTGTCAGTTTAATTGGCTTCTCTATATTGTCCTTAGGTGCGAGTGTACGTGAATGGTTGTATGTCTTTATGTGTTTCCGTGTTTCCCTGCGATACACCGGCAAACTGTCCAGGGTGTACCCCACCTTTTGCCCGTAGGCTGCCGGAGATACTGTAGGCACCTGCCCCACCAAGGACTAAGTGGGAGCAAATGGATGGATAATTACTACCTAATATAGATGAATGTAATTAGTCTTTTTATTACTTTTCATCAAATTCAAACCTGAATGAAATCTTGAAATTCAGTTCTGTTTTGTTTTTTTAATGGTATCAAGTGATACCAATACAGCAGACATAGACCAATTCCATTACGTTTGTCACTCCAAACTTTTACCAAAGCATTCCCTCTGATGAAGCCTGTTTTAGATGTACTGAAGAATAGATATAGTTCTTTATCCTAAACAGGTAAATTTGTTTTTTGACTGTCTTCTCAGTGATATGACGGATATGTTTGAAAACATATGGATAGGGGCTTTAAATGCTTACTACTGGTGCACATATATTTCATTTATTTGAAGAGGTTTGTTAAAAGATAAGTCAAAATATAGATGCGTATGAGGAGCCTTTTATCTTTTAGAAAATGGAAAACTAGATAAAGTATTGAAATTCTTTGTTTTTTTTATGTAGTTAATGGTTCATTATTTTTTACATATACAGTAGGAACCCTGTATCTTCCCGTGGTAATAATGAACTAGGGTAATAATGAACTTAGTTCATTAGTAGATAGCTTATAAAGAGATCCTCTTGTCTTTATGTTTTGTTATATGTAACAGTGCTGGATGTGAGAAACAGCAAAGACTCGGCTCAACAATTCTTCCTCATCCAGTCTATTAAAACACAAATGCGGACAATGTTAGAGCTATTTTTGCTTCTCCATACAACAAATTCCACTGAGAGCCCTTTAAAGATCTCAGACACTCTCTGAATCTTCCCCAACATTTCATATAGACTCAGAAATGTCACATATGTATTTAAGAGCTTTCCACTGCCTTTTATTTTTTTCAGTTGTCTTTCATTGCCTCTGGAGGCTCTCCCATGTCTGTTCCCTTGTTTTACAGAGCTGTTAACAGCACTGCTACAGCCTCAGAGAAGAGAGTGCATGAGGCTACTCAGACCTGTAACTATCTGCAAGCAACGGGCCACTGAGAAGGATGATTCACGGCGACAGCAAAGCCCACATCCCCTGAGGTGTGAAAGGGACATCACTGAGAGGGAACGTACCGTGATACGGACAAAGTCACAAGCTGAGCAACTCAGAGCTGAAAAACTGTCTCACATTCTCTCATTTATTACACAGGACAGGTGAATGAACTCATCTAAATGCTGTTGGAGAACCTCCATTATTTGAAAACCACCTTACCGGAACTGATTTTCTCAATATGCTTTTTTTCGCTCTTGCAAGTCACACCAGCAAGTCTTTATTAAACACAAAGTAGGAAATAAACAGCTCCCTAGAGTCACCCTGACAGCGGGTTGTGTGCTACTTTTATGTAAATACCAGAGAGAGTAATTTAATGTTAGAATCCAATTTTAGAAATGCTCAAGCAGATGTCTAATTTATGATCCAGTGTGTTTCAGAAATGAAGCATGACACTATATGGTACTCTGCAAACATATTCATATCACTTTATGTCAGAACCAGAACCTGCAAGTCAAAGGAAAAAGAAGGATTTAAACATAATATATTGAAAACTGGCATGCATTTCAGTTCATTT